TAAAAAAAAAAAAAAAAAAAAAAAAAAAAAAGAAAAAAATATATTAGTATTGTTAAAAAAAAAAATATTTAAAATGTTTTTCTCTGTCTATTTTTTTTTTTTCTTTTTCTTTTATTATTAAATATTAAAAAGAAAATTACGGTATTATTTTTGATATAAATAAAATATTTCCATTTTCACGAATATATCTTATAACATTAATGAGTAATTGTAAAACATAAAACATGAAATATAAAAAAGTAAAAATTAAAGAAATATTCATTTTAATAATTTTAAAATAGGCTATATATAAAATCATAATTGAAAAATTAAATTTTTATATCATTCTAAAATATATAGAGCAAAAAAATACTTCTAATTATATGTGTAATATTATTTTAAATATGAAATTTTTAGAGTATTGAACCAATTGTTATTAATTAAAAATTTAATTTTTGTCATTTAATATAATTTTCAAATTTTAATTTTTCATTAAACATTATATATTGCATTAATATATAATTTAATTAAAAAGAATGAAAAGGAATTAGCATTACATTTAACAAATAAAAAAAAATTAAAATTACATAAATGAATTTTTTTTCATGAATTAAAAAAAAAAACAATTAAAAAAGATATTAAATAAGATTATATACATGAAAAAATATTTTTTACAAAATAATTTTTTTTTTTCATTAATTCCTTAGTATATTAAAAATAAACAGCAATTATATGGAAAATTTATAAGTAAACTATGCAAATTTAGTAAAAAAAAAAATATAAAATAATAAAGGATACTTAAAAAAAATAGAAATAAATAATGTATAAAACACAAAACAATAATGTAGAAGAAAAAGACATAATAAAAACATAATCAGAATGTAAATGAAATATTTTATAATCATAATTGCTTCCAATAACAAAATTCATAATATGATTATAATTAACTGGCAAATAGGAAGTTAAAAGCAAAGAATTTGTAACGAAATATAATCCCATTAACTCAGAAATCAGTAATATCCACATATTAGAAAATAATTTAAAGTAAGATGAAAAGTAAGTAGATATTTGAATGATTTGTTGTAGAAACTTTTTCATATTTATCGCTACAATATATGAAATATATATTAATGAAATATATGGTGCATATATTATTGCAAGATTATATTTTACATTAAAAAATAAGCATATCTTTTCTATAATTTTTGAAAATGGATCTCTTATGTAGATTCTTATAAATATAACATTCATGGTTGACATAATTACTTTATAAATAACAGTTAAAAACATAAATGAATTTAAACATACATTAATTCTACCTAAGAGGCAATTTTTATTTTTTTGAATTTCAAATTTTCTACTTAAAATAGCATTTAACGAATAATACATACTTGTATTTGTATAGATAATATTTTCCATTTCTTTTTTTAGTTTATTGTAATTTTCTATATTCTCTATTTTTCTTATTTGATCATTTGTTTTGTATAAAATATCATCTTCATCTATACATTTATTATATTTTCCTTTTTTTGTTTTTTCTTTATCTTCCATAACAATATTTTTTTTATTTATATATATTTCATCTACATATTTATTAGACCCAATTTCATTATATTCATCAAATTTTATTCTATCTAATTTATTTAATGGAATATTTATATTTTTTAAAAATAAATTTTTAGGTATTGAATCATTTGTATTTTTTATGTCTTTTCTTTTTTTTTTCTTTATTTTATTCATTTTTTCTGTTATTAATAGACTATATTTATAGCTTGATGCAATATTTAAAGAATTAAATTTTGTTAATAAAATTTCATGGTTATCAATATTGCTTTGATCTAAATTTTCAGTATTATTTTCTGTTATTAAAAAAGGACAACTACTAGATCTTTTTAACTTGGTAACATTCTTTTTATTTATATTTTTGTAAAAATAATTAATTGCGGTTGACTCATGATCACTGAAATTACTATTTTTTTTTTTTTTTTTACACTCATCTAAAAAATTAAAATTTACACGGCTACTGTTTTTACATAGACTAAAATTTTTATTTTTTTCTTGGTATAGATTAGTATCATAATTTTTATTATTTCTATCATTTAAAAAATTATTATTTTTTAATTGGCATATATCTTTTAATTTATTTGTAATATTTAAAAGAAGTGATACTTTCTTTAAAGAAAATTTCTTTTTACTATTACTGTAATTTATAATTTCTTTATTTATTTTTTTTTCTTCTTTTATACTATTATTATTATTATTATTATTATTATAAGAATTTTTGGTATCATATAAAAAATTTTTTGAGTCAATATCTAGGTTGCTTTGAAGTCTTTCCAATTCTTTTTTTTTAAACATATAATTTGTTAAATTAATTAAAATTCTTTCTTCAATATTGTATATTTGTATTTGAATTTTTGGTATACGTAAAAAATAGATAAAAGTTATAATATAATCATATATAAAATATATAGATGTTATTCCAGCAACTATTGAATTTGTTGTTACTCCTAATGCACATATATTTATTAAAAACTCTCTTATTACAAGCTTGTGAAAAATCATAAAATAATTAATTATCATAAAAAATAAAATATTTATAATATTATAAATTTTATTAAGATACATATGAATTCCATTTTCTTTTTTCTTTTTATATTTACTATTAAACTCTCTGAAATAACTAACACATTTATATTGTTTTTCAAATAAGAAAAAGACATTTCTATTAAAAATTTTGTTTTGATTTTTTTTATCATTATTTTTATATAATAAATATTTTCTAATATTTACACTATTATCATCTGCAATAACATAATTGTAATTTTTCTTATATATTACATTTTTCAGTTCACCTAAGCTTAACCAAAGAAGAGATAAAAAAATGATACTCCTAAAAAAAAAATGTTTTTTCGTTTTTTTGATTATTGCATTTTGCTCCTCATTTACAAAACTAATTTTTGTATAATATGTTTTTAGTAATTTAATATGTGAATGAGAGTTAAATTCTGGTGATAAAATTTCTTTATAATTATTTGAATCGAAAATCGTGTTGATAAATTCTACTGGTATTATTAAATATAACAACAATACTAATATACATATATCTATATGCCAAATATATATAATTATAATATTAGAAACAATATTTGATAACTCAAATATAAAAAGTGAAAATATAGACATACACACTAAAAAAGTTATAAAAAAAATACTTTTATTAAATTTATTTGAATGATTTAAAATGTCTAAATACTTCATAAGATAATAAATGGATACTTTATAAAATATTATGTGTACTAAAATCATAATTATTATTTCATACAATAATTTGAAATTCATTTTATTTATAAAAAAAAAAAAAAAAAAGGAAAGTAAATAACATGTTCTATAAATTCTAAATAATATACATAATTTAATTAAAATAATTTTATTGATAAATTAACTGTTTATATAGATTTTTTTTTTTTTTTTTTTTAAGTTACATATTTCAAATAGTATGTCTTATATATGGAAAAAAAAATTATATAGAAGAATGTTTACAAGGATAAAATTACTTTTCGATTTAATTGTTTTACAAAAAAGATATAAAAAAAAAATGTTTATATATATAAATATAGAGAGATGGTGAAAGATAGTGATGGTTAGCATAAGAGAAAAAAAAAAAAAAAAAAATTTTATTTAAATGGTCTTTTTCGAATTAAAAAAAAAAATGAATTCATATTTAACGGATTCACACATATATTTACATATTAATGATTTTATACCTAATTTTCTTATTTTTACATTGTTTCTTTTATTAGATTCAGATATATTTTTTTCTTATGTTCCTTTTTTAATTTATTTTTATAAACTATTATGCTTTTACAATACAATGAATTTAAAAATTTTTTTTTTCTTTATCATTTTCAATAAATTTTCATTAAGCTTAAAAATCTTAATCAAATATCTACTGTTTTTAACACACATATTTTTTATGAAGTCCTAAGAAGGTATAAAAAGTTTTTTGCATTTATATATAATTAATTAAAAAAATTGATTTATATTTATTTTTGGTATTTTAATTTAAATAATAATTAGCTAATTACTATTTGAGTATATTAAAAAAAAAAACATAATAAAATAATATATATATTGCATGAGGAGTTCTCACAATTTTCATTCTTGATGTTTTTTCTATTATTTTTTATATTTAAAAACGATGTAATTTTTTTTAACAAATATTAATCTCTGTTTAAGTAAAATTAAAAAATATATATTAAAAGAAGAAAAAAATTTATAAAAATTAAGAACCCTATAATTAAATGAAAAATACAACTGTAAATTACATGAAAATATAATGTAAAATTATTTAATCAAAATAAATAATGATTCGTATTTACATAAATAAATGTACTTATAAAAATATGAATAAATGAAAATCTGCAAAATGAAATGTTTTAATACTCCAAAGTTCATATAAAAATCAAGTTTTCAAAATTATGATAAAAACAACAAAAAAAAAAAAAATAAAATAAAATAGTAAAAATAAGAAAACACAAAATAAGGTATATTTAATAAAAATATGCTTTCAAAATTAAAAAAAAATAAAAAGGCAAGGCGTTTTTTCTAAAAAGAGTTAAAGATTTTAATGAAATAATTTGATATTCTTGAATTTTTTTTTTTTTTTTTTTTTTTTTAAATTCAAATCATACATAAACATATTTGAAATTATTTTACTATAACTTTTTTTTTTCTTTTAATGGAAATATTATTAAGTAAAAATATTCATTTATTCTTATTTGAATTTTTTTTCAGTTAATATTAAAAAAACAGGAAAAATTAACTTTTTTATTGCATATATTATTTTTAATTCTAAAAGAATAATGTGTGAAAATTGAAAAAAATATATGATCAAATAATTAAATTGAAATATAATATAAAGTAAAATAAAAGGAAAAACTTAAAAACAATTTAAATAAGTTGTATTAATAAATTTTTAATTAACATATATTATAGGAAAAAAAAAGATATATATTTAAATATGGTTAAAAAAAAATATATATATATATATATACAAGAAAATACACAATAAAAATTAAAATATATATTTAATCTAAATAATTAAAAAAATAAATAAAAAATAAAACAGATAATGGGTAATTCTCAAGGTGGCATGAATTCTCCTTATGGATTTTTGGGTAATTGTTTATATATAAAATAATAATAAAAAAATAAAATAAATTTATATAATAGTATTACTTAATAGAATTATACATAAGATAAAAAAATAAATTTTTTTAAAAATTTAATAAAAAATATTAAATATAAAAAACCTTTTTATAGTAGATCATTATAAAAAAAAAATGTGATGCAATCAATATATATATATATATATAAATTTTTTTGTTATAGGAAAGAAGGATGATAAAGATAAAGGAAAAGATAAAGAAAAGAAGAAATTAGAAAGTTCTCCTCCATCTCATATAGGAAAAAGGAAAAAAAAAAATAAAGGGAATTCAGGACATTCTAAATTACCAAATGTAACACCAAATACAAAATGCAGATTAAAATTACTAAAATTGGAAAGAATAAAAGATTATTTATTGTTAGAAGAAGAATATATAACAAATCAAGAGCAAATAAAAACAACTGATGATAAAAATTATGTAAAATTAAAAATAGATGACTTAAGAGGATCTCCTATGAGTGTTGGAACATTAGAGGAAATGATAGATGAAAATCATGGTATCATTGCTACTTCAGTTGGTCCAGAATATTATGTAAACATTTTATCATTTGTTGATAAAGATTTATTAGAACCTGGTTGCTCTGTTTTATTAAATAATAAAACCAATAGTGTAGTAGGAATATTATTAGATGAAGTAGATCCATTAGTATCTGTTATGAAAGTAGAAAAAGCTCCTTTGGAGTCTTATGCTGATATTGGTGGATTAGAATCTCAAATTCAAGAAATAAAAGAGGCAGTTGAATTACCATTAACTCATCCCGAACTTTATGAAGATATTGGTATTAAACCACCTAAGGGAGTAATTTTGTATGGTCCTCCAGGTACCGGAAAAACTTTATTGGCTAAAGCAGTGGCTAATGAAACATCAGCGACGTTTTTAAGAGTTGTTGGATCGGAATTAATACAAAAATATTTAGGAGATGGACCAAAATTAGTTAGAGAAATGTTCAAAGTTGCAGAAGATCATGCACCATCCATTGTTTTTATTGATGAAATTGATGCAGTTGGTACAAAAAGATATGAAGCAACTAGCGGAGGGGAAAGAGAAATTCAAAGAACTATGTTGGAATTACTAAATCAATTAGATGGATTTGATTCAAGGGGGGATGTTAAAGTTATTATGGCTACCAACAGAATTGATTCTTTAGATCCAGCTTTAATTAGACCAGGAAGAATTGATAGAAAAATACAATTACCTAATCCGGATACCAAAACTAAAAGGAGAATATTTCAAATTCATACTAGTAAAATGACTATGTCTCCAGATGTAGATTTAGAAGAATTTGTTATGTCAAAAGATGAATTGTCGGGTGCTGACATTAAGGCAATATGTACTGAAGCAGGATTGTTAGCTCTTAGAGAAAGGAGGATGAAAATTACGCAAGTAGATTTGCGTAAAGCTAGAGATAAAGCTTTATTTCAAAAAAAAGGAAACATACCAGAAGGTTTATACTTGTAATAATAAGCAACATATATATAGTATATTGATGTATATTAATATAACAAATAATTTTGAAATTCCATTAAATAACAATTACATACAAAAAAAAAAAAAAAAAAATAAAATAAAATAAATAAATAAATGCAAATATATATATATATATATATATATATATATATGAGTTGTAAATTTTTTTGTGAACTTTTTTATACTTATATCTTTTATAAAAAGGAAAATTTTTAAATAAATTTTTACACAACATATATTAACTTATTTTGTCATTAAAAATTAATAAAATAGAGAATAATAATATATTCTTACATGAGGAAAAGGAAAAGGAAAAGGAAAAGGATTTAAATAAGATTATAAAAATTTTAAACATAAATATGTTTTATGTGTAATATTAGAATAATTTAAATTTATCCTCATTATGAAGAAAAACATTACATGAAAAAATTTTTTTTATTTCCTAAAATATTTTTACTTTTATTTTATTTAATTTTTACAAGATTTTAAGTGATCCTTTTCCTTGTAAAAAAAAAAAAAAAAAAAAAATATATGGATGTTAAATAAATATTACAAATGTTCTTAGTAATAATTAAATTTAATTTTTTTAAAATTTAAGATACTTTGGTGGTAATTCTGCTTTATTTTCAAGAAACTCCTTGACTTTATTATAAAGAATTTTGGTTTGGTTAAAACTAATTAGCATCAGTTGTCCTCCTAAACAATAATTTATATATATGTAGTTGTGAGAGTAAAAATATAAAAATTTAAATATATATAAGAAATGCATAGTTTTAGTAACTTGGTAAAAAATAGTAAAGTATAGCTAGAATTTCATCAGGATTAAATATATTCTATAAAAAAAAAAATAAGTAAAAATAATTTTTAATTAATCATATTTTAAGGTGTTATATTCATCAAAAATTGATCAATTATGAAAATATCATTATTTGCTATTAGTGTCTATATATTTTTATTAATTTGCTTAATTCATTTGTAGTTTTTCTATTAATTTTTATATTATTTCTTTTTATTATATTCCTATATACATGTTTTATATGTTTTTAATTAAAATTTTTAATATATAACCATGTCTGGTTTTCTAAATTTTTTCAGCTTGTCGTAATATTCTCTTAAGACAAAAATAAAATTATACAAGAAATAATCTGCCTATATTAAGTATTATTAGTAATTATAACATTATATGAAAAAATAATTTATTTTTATTCTATTTTTTCTTTAAACCAAGAGAATATTTTCATGCGTGAAGAATATTAAAGTATAGCAAATTCTGCTCAATAAAAATACAAACAAAATTTAACTTCATTTAAAAAGTTATAATTTACAAATATATATATTTTTTATATAATAATTACTTGTTCAAAACTTTCCACATTATATTTACTTTATTTTTGAATAAAGAAGGATTAACTATTCTAAAAATGCCTTCATTATCCATTTTTATTTCATTATTAGCATTTCTAGTAAAGTAGAATATTTTTTATATATAAACATTATATGTAATATATATATATAAATATGCATAAAATTGCTTTTTTTTTTTACTTTGAAAGAAAAATATTGAATAATTCTAAATATTTTTCTGTGTTCCTTTTACTAATATTTTCACTCTTTCCTTTATCTTCTTCATAATACTTATTTTCTTCAATAACTCTCTTAATTATACTCTATAAAATTTGCACAAAAAAATATCAAAATATAGAAAATTATAATTTCATTATTTTTGTTTTTTTACCTGTTGTCTAATATATTTATATTCATCTTCATTTTCACCATTATAATAATAACTAAAATGAAAATCTGTTTCATTTTCGGAAGAATGAATTATTATCCCATACACCATTTTGTGTTAAAAAAAAAATAAAAAACAAAGTGGTTGAAAAAAAGTAATTATAAAAATACAATTAATATGAAAATGCACATATATAAATATATTAAATATGAGTAATACTAATAATAATATATTGTATCAGTTCAAATTAACTTTTTTGTGAGGATTTTTTATTTGATTTATGCTTACTTTAATATACTAATAAACATAATAAATTTTTTTTTTTTTTTTTCTTTTTTTTTTTTTTTTTTTTAAATTTGTTAACAAAATGAATATAAAATAGTAATTTTAAATTTTAGTAATAATGATTTATCGAAAGGAAAGTTGATAAATTTCAATTTTGTAGTTAATAGTTTTTTCAAATTTTTTTTTTTTTTTTTTTAAATTATAGATAATAAAGGAAAAAAAAAAAAAAATCAATTAAAAACATAACAGTAAAACAAGTATTAATTCTATTTAACTTAGGAAATTATTTGTTATAATAATTATATAGGAAAAAATCTGAGAAAATAAATATATATTTTTATACACAATTTTATTAAAATCCTTTTGTATAAGTTAGACCTATTGCTAATTTTTAAAATAATATTATTATAAAGGGTTTATTATACATTTAAGAAAAATATTTAATAACATATTTATGAAAAACAATAACTAAAATAAACAACAAAATATTTTGGAAAAAAAGAAATTATTATATTTATTTGAATACGATATAATAAAAATACATTAAATTACGAATGGATTAATCATCTAAATTGAATTAAAATATTTTTCATATATAATGTAAAATTTTTATTAAATAATGCACAATTTTTTAAATAATATATGTTTAGAAGTATATGTGATGTAAAGAGCACATATATTTATATATGGATAATTTTTTTTTTATGGGGAATTAGAGAAAACTAACAAAAATATTATGACCATTAAGGGGTTAATACGATTTATAAACAAGAAAATTCCTAATACCATTAAAAAAATAGATGATATAAAAAGTTTTAAGGGTAAAAAATTTATAATTGATGGAACGTTTTTTATTTATAAGTTTATGTATGTTGCTTGGAAGCATATACTAAATGATAAAAATCGTGAGAATAAATATAAAAATAATGAAATAGCTACCCATATATTAATAAGACAGTATATTATTAAGAAAAGCATAGAATTATTAAAGAATCAACATGAATATTTTAAGTCATTAAAAATTAATACACTTTACATAATTGAAGATATTGGTGCTAGATCTGAGTTACAACCTATTGATTACAAGTGTAAAAAACATGTATGGAAAGAAAGAGATTTAATCAGAAAAAAAAAAAATTTATTTGATATTTTAAATATAGATGCATCAAAAAAATGTAATTCCAAAAATACAGAAAGCTTAAATGATAATACCTTAAATAATTGCCATATTAAAAAAAATATTAATATGAATAAATTTTTGAATGATAAAAAGAGTAATATATGCAACGTTTGTGAAAAGAAGAACTTAAAAAAATGCAAAATGGAGATTGTTGTAGACGAAGATGGTGTTCATGATTTATTTAAAAAAAATATATTTATAAAAATTAATTCTAAAACAGCTAATGATATTTATAATTATTTATTATTGGAAAAAATTCCAATTTTTATTACAAAAAATGATGCAGAAAAGGAGTGTGCAATTCAATGTTCTCATGAAAAGGACATTGTAGTGTCAGATGACACTGATGCATTAGCTTTTGGAGCTCCTAATTTAATTAGATTCATAACTAATAAAAAAAAAAGACATATTATTAATAAAGAAGAGTTATTAAGTGAATTAAATATAAATTATGAACAGTTCATAGACTTTTGTATTTTATCAGGTTGTGATTATAGTGCAAAAATACCTGGGATTGGTCCTGTAAAAGCACATGAAATTATAAAAAAATATAAAACAATAGAAACATTTTTAGAATCTAAAGCATTTAATAAATACAAAAATTCCAAGCTATTTAATGAAAAACTAAATGGAATATCTATGTCATTAAATGATTACATTATAAATGAATTTACTTATGAACAAGCAAGAAAAGTATTTTTTAATTCTTATTAAAGTTTTTAAATAATTATAAATTTATGTTATTTGTAAATGTTATTTTTTTAATTTCATATTTATTTTAAAAACACTTTTCATTTAAAGTTATTTATCATTAATCTCAAAATAATACTTACAATACCATATTTATTATTTTTTTATTTTTCAATAATTATATTGAAGCAACAGAATTCTTGATATATACCTTAATATTTGTTGATTCTATTTTCATCTTTTGCAATTTTTAGTGTTTACAAAATTTACTATTGAGTAATATGTATAGGTTATCATAATAATCTATATTCATAAATAAAAATAACATCTGTGCTTGTTTATAAAAATATAGGAATTTAACTAAAAAAAAAAATAAAAAATTTGAATACATAAATTTTTATTTTTTTGAATAGGATTATTAATAGTTTTGCTTATAGCATTAGAAGCATTATGCATATATTTTGTATTTTTTTTTTAATTTATTGGAATTTTCAGGATATTTTATATATATATATATATATATGTTGTTTTGTATTCTTTGCTTCTCTATGTTATTATTTATAAAAGGTTATGGTAACCCATTAGTATATTTAAATATTTTGCTTTTTATAAAAAAAATACATTTTTGTTTAAATTATTAAAATTAAGTATCATTGTTTTTTTTTAGAATAAAAAAAAAAAAAAAATGAATATAAAACAGAAATTTAAAAACATTATCTATAGTTTTTAATAAAAAAAAAAAAAAAAAAAAATAATTTTTTAATACGGATTTAAAAACTTAAATAAAAAATATAAACGAATAAAAAAATAAAGAACAAAAGTTAAAATAAGTATTTACATAAATAAAAAATATTAAATACTATTTAATTAACAAAATTACTTTAATAAATTGAGCTAGATGATTTTATTTTAATGCTTTTCTTTTATTTTAAAAATATATTACATAAGTATATATTCTTGAAGAGTGTAATATTTTAAAAATAACAATTTAAACTAAACAATATATTTAAAAATAATTGTAATTTTGTGTCAGAATAAAAAGAAATAGTAACTAAATAAAAAACAATATAAAGAAAAAAGTAAAATAAAAAAAAAAAAAAAAGATGAAAAAAAAAAAAAAACATGAATATAAATGTGAAAATTTATGTTAAAAATAGAATATAAAAAAGTTAACAAAACATTGATCAAATATACATTTTTCTTTTTTTTAAATCAATTTTAAATTAAATATATTCAATTATTTAAACAACTATTACAATACCAATCATTATCTATATCAGGAGGATTATCAATTGAATATTTACAACAAATCCAATGATACCATTTTTCACATTTATCACATCCAATCCAGTTTAAGCCATCAGCTGGTGATCCATCACTTAATTCTTCATAATAACATTTGCATATTGGACAATATATTTGTTCATCTTCTTTGTTTTCGTTATTTTTTTTTACATCTTTTTTTTCTTCTTTTGTATTTTCACTCATTTTCAGATTTTCGTTTTTAATTTTTTTTGTCTTTTCTATTTCATTTTTATCTTTCTTAATTAATTCATTAATACCATTAATATGTTCTATAATGACGTCAAATTGATTTTCTTTACCTGTTTCACCAACGTTGTTATTTAATTGTATTATTTTTTTTTCATTAGCTGCATTAAAATCATTTCCATTACCATATAAATCATCAATACTTTTATTTTTATTTTTTTTCTCTTTTTCTTTCTCTTTTTCCTTCTCTTTTTTTTTATTTTTTCTCTCTAATTTTAAGTTACTATTATTATATTTAATGGATGTATAAGAATCTTTTAATGAATTATTTTTTAAAATATCTCTGTCATCTTCATGAAGTATATATATTTTTCTCTTATCTTCTAAATAACTATATTTGTCTTTTTTATCTACCATTATATTTTGTTTATTTTTTATATCATCAAGTTCTGTGTTAGTATGGTTATTAAAATTGCTACAAGTTAAACTTTCAGAATTAATTGCATTATTATAATTTTCTTCAAATTTTTTCTTAAGTTGCATAAAACTATTCTGAATTATATTATTAATATATGCATTACTTTTGCAATTAAAAAAGGAAACATTTTGAAAAGATTTCAGTTCTTCTGTTTCATTCTCTGATAAAACAGAAACGGCACTTTCGGTTAAATTATCATCAATGAATACAAGATCCCCCTTAATTTTGCGGTTTGAATTCATTGATGGGTACTTAGAATAGTCTGATTCTTGATTTAACGTATTGATTTTGTCAGAAGACATAAAATTATCTATTTCTTTATGGATGTAATTTGAATTATTACTTTCACTTTTAATTTTATATGGTATATTTTTTAATGAATCTAATAGATTTTTTGAGTTTTCGCCAGCTACTAATTTTAAATCCTTATGAACAATTTGGTTATTATAATAATCTGTATATTTTTTGTCTTCAACATTATTTTTTAAGAAAAATTTTCTTTTGTTCTCTAAATTATATTTGTTACATTTATAACTTCTTTTTAATTCATTAGAAGCCATATTCGTATTCTTTTTAATCATATTTGATTGCGTTTTTTCAAAAATATTAGTTGATAGATAATCGTCTATTTTAATTGGCTTCATTAAGAAATTGGTATATTTTTTATTCAGATAATTAAAAATATAAGTTCCCAGTAGAAAATTATACAAATGGTTAAATGGAAAGTGTAAAAAATTTTCGAAGAAAAATAATTTATTTGTATTAATAAAATTTAACAAGCTATTTTTTTTACAGTACTGAAAAGTATGTTTAAAGCAATATGCTTTTTTTGGATTATAAATATCAACTCTTCCGAAAAAATTATCCATTTTACAACCAAGCAAAATTCCACAAGATATGTGAAAAGAAATATCACAATCAGTGTTACTACATGTAAGAACAATTCCATGTCTTATCCTGCAGTAACTACATATTTTTTTATTGCATCCCGCTTTTATCTCATTAATATTATTTTTTTTTGAATAAGCAGTATTTACATACTCTAAACATTTGGGATGAACAAATATTAATTCTTTTTTTACTTTATCTTCAAAACAATTTAAAAATCCATCTAATCTAGGACAATAGGAACAAAATCCTATTTTTTTTTTTACCTTAAAATATTCACATCTAGGACAGATAAATTGATTTTCATCATCCTTTTTATTTGAATTGTCGTTCATAATATTTAAATGAGTTCTTTTTTTATTTACACCCATTTTATTTGGTTTATTATCACTTTTTTCATTGGTATTTTTAACTTCGTTATTATCATTTTTATTTGTACATTGCACTATTTTCTCAATATTTTCTTCGTTTACATCTTTAATTTCTGTAATGTTTTTTTCACAGATAGGTTTTTCATTAGTTTCATCTATAATTATATGATTTATTCCTTTATTATCATATTCTTCAATACAATTTTTATGAATTTCCTCATTATTCCTTTTATTTATCATATTTATATCATCTTTTTTAATTATATTAATATATTTTTTATTTGTAGAATTTTCATCCTTTTTATTCATAAGTTTTAAATTCTTTTTATTTTTATGAAGTAAGTCATTCTTGTTAAAAATAGTAATTTCGTTTTTTTTTATTTTTTTCTTACTCATAAAAGGATTATTTTTATAATTCTCTTTTTTTATTATTTTATCTCTGCAAGGAGAAATATTCATATCTATTTTATTTATTGAAAAGTTATATTTATTTATTTTAATCTCTTTTTTTATTTCATATATTTTATCATTATTTTCACTACTTTTATTATTAATAATGTCAAAAGAATTTAAATTACTATTTTTATTCGTACAATTATTAGTATCAACAAAATCAATTTTGTCTTTTCTCTTGTATTTAGTTGGTCTTCCAACCTTATTATTATATATGAAATTATTTAATTTACCACGTTCATAATCATTATTTAATGTATCCTCTATGTCATCATTTAAATAGTTTTTTACTATATCTATATTCATTCTATGACAGCAAAAGTAGCATATGTATACATTACACACAGAACATTTTTTTAGAACACTTAATGATCCTAGTCTCCTTTCTTTTTTTATTTCAAAATTATCTTTTTTATTTGATGAGTAACATATTTTTCTTAATTTACTGGTTTGAATATTTGTATCTGTATTTTCTAATGGGATTAAACTATCTTGATTGTTTTTTTTTTTTTCTTCTTTATTTGTTTCACAATATGTTGCCTTCGATAAACATACACTACAAAACATTAGATTTTTATTGTTTAAAAGTGAGAGAAATTTATTAAAAAACATAAAAAAGGTATCGTCATTATCAATACTAGATATATTCGATGGATACTTCTCCAATATGAGCTCTGATAATTTTCTTAATTGATAATCATTAAAATAAGGGTATAACAGTAAAATATTTTCAAAATTCTTTAGTTTTTTGTATTTATCACTTAAAATACTACTGTTAAATTCTTGTATGTCTTTTTGCATATTTAAGAAATCATAAGTTAACAACTTCAGTAGTGAATCTTCATCTAATAGGTTTTCATTATAAATATTTTTAAAATTACTAATACTTATTATATTGTTACATTTTATATTACTTATTTTATTTATACTGTCTATATCAAATATATCAATTGGTATATTTTTTTCTTTGTTTTTTTCTTCTAATTCTAAGAAGATTTTACCTTCTTCATCATCAAATTTTCTTTTATTAGTAGTTTTAATTTGATCATCATTAGTATTTTTTATGTCTTCATTTATAATTTTATTTTCAATGTTAAAATTTATATTACTTTCTTCCTCTTTTTTTTTTTCTACATTATTATTTTTAATATCTCCAATCATATTATCCTTTTTAATTTCATCCATTTCACAAATTTCTAATGCATTATTAAAAGATTCATTTCCTTCTTTTGAAAAATTATGATCATATTTTAGACATAATTCATTAAAATCATTAATAATACCAAAATTACTTTTTATATTTTCATTAAATTTATTATAATTAAAATAGATGAAATTTTCAAATATAGATAAGGATGATAATGAGAGCAAATTGAATAATTTTAAGTCACTTATTTTTAAATAAGATTGTAATATATATGCATCAAAAATTTTTGCAATATTTAGTTTGTCTTCTAATTTATTTTTATTATATTCTTTTTCACGAAGAATTTGATATTTTCTTAATATCTCTGTTGGCGCTTTTTTTTGAGAATGATTAGAACAAAATAAAACTAATTTATTAAATTCATTATACTCAATTAAATATTTATTTGATGAGGTAGCACAAGAAATATGATAATATTTGTAACAGTCTGAAATATTACATTTTATTATTCCTGTATTATTTGTTCTTAAGCATAAAGAACATTTATATTTTGTTTTTTCTTCTTTATTGCTTATTTCGATTTTATCACTTATTATGCAATTACTAATTAAGGCACATCGTATATGACACCACTCATTTTTTTTGTTAGTTCTTTTAATTGGTCCTCCTCCTAAATAAAAAGCATCAAATTCACAAATGCAACATGTTGGAATTTTAAAAATGAAAGAAAAATTTTTGTTAAAATTATATTTTAGATATAATATATTTTTTTTTAATCCATTATCGTTTGATGGAAAATTATAATTAATTAAATTGTATTCTTCATTATTTGGTTCAATCAAATTATTTTCTATTATTTTGTTCTTTTCAAGATTCTTTACATTTTTTTCATCTAGCTTATTAGGCTCTAAAATATCATTTGATGTTATATTATTTTTATAATTAATAGTTTTATTATCATTAATACTATAATTATTATTATTATTATTAAAATTAATATTGTTATTATCATTATTATTAAAATTAATATTGTTATTATCATTAATACTGTTGTTATCATTAATACTGATGATATCATTAATACTATTATTATTATTATTATTATCATTAGTATTATTAATATTATTATTATCATTAGTATCATTAATATTGTTATTATTGTTATTATTATTATTATTACTATTTTCATTATTATCATTATTATTACTATTTTCATTATTATCATTATTATTCGTATTAACATTATTATCATTATTATTCGTATTATCATTATTATCATTATTATTCGTATTATCATTATTATCATTATTATTTACATTATTATAGTTATTATTATTAACATTATTATTATTATTGTTATCATTAACATTACAATTATTATTATTAACATTATTATTATTATTGTTATCATTAACATTATAATTATTATTATTATTATTATTGTTATCATTAACATTATTATTATTATTATTATTATTATTATTATTATTATTACTATTATTATTATTATTATTATTATTATTATTATTATTATTATTATTATTATTATTATTATTATTATTATTATTATTATTATTATTATTATTATTATTATTTATATTATCATTTTTTGAATTATTTTTATTCGTCATGCTAAGTAATCTGTTTTTATTAAACTTAGTACTTCCTAATGGTCTCCCCCTTTTTCTTACTACTACATTATTATTATTATCCTTCATTATACTATGAAATAGTTTTTTTTTTAACTTTTTTTTTTTTTTTTCTTCTTTTTTCGAGGCTCTACTTTGAAATATTTTTTTATCTCTTTTTCTTTTATTATATTTTTCTTCTCCTTCTCTCTTTTTATCTTCTACCTTTTCTTCATTGTCTTCACTTTCTTCAGAAATTTCGTTAACACAATATGATTCTTGACGAAATAATTTAAAATTTTCGTTTAAAAATTTATTTTCTTTATTTTCATCATCTATTTTATTAATTACAATAGAATTAAAAAAATCCTTATATTTATATTTATCAGTATTCTTAAGAACAACATTTTCAAAAAAATCATGTGCATCTTTTATATCTAAGTTATAGGTTTCCTTGTAATGATTAACATCTTTATCAATATCGAATAATAATAAAATAGATTTATATTTATAATTACATTTAGAAATATTATTTACAATTATCTCTTCTGGAGGGTTATATGACAATAATTCATTTTTAATATCATTTAGTAAATTATCACATGGAAATTCATTACATGACTTAACTAAAAAATCAATATCTTTTTTTTTTCTAGGTCCACTTAATAGTCTAATAATTTTAAAAGCACTAGAATCTTCAATAAATAAAATCTGATTTCTTAGGTAAGAACATAATGGACATATCCATTGTTCTTCTTCCGAATTTTTTCCATTTTCACTATTTTCTTTATTCTGAATTTTTATTTTATCCATATTGTTATTTAAATTATTTTTATTTACATTATTTAACACATTTGTATTTTTTTCTCCTTTGTTATTATTTATGCTTTTATAATTTGTTTCATTTTTTGAATATTTGAAATCTTCTTTTTCTATATTACTATTAGTTTCATTTAAACTAAGGTGATTTACTTCCTTTGTATTTTTTACATCTTGACTAGATTCCTTTTTGCATGATGACATATTATTATTACTGTTATTTTCTTTTTCATTATTACTGTTACTTAATAATACATTTATATTATTATATTCAAATTGCTGATGAGTATTTTCATTTATATTACTTTTTTTTAAAGATTCGATATTATTAAGTGAAGTATTAGTATCTTTCACAGAATTTGTAGTTGTATTAAAACTGTTATTAAATGAATTTACATTAATGAAGTTATCTGATAATAAAGATTCAATAATATTTATATTTTTATTTTTTGAAATATGATTAACCTTTTCACAATTTTTGTTTGTCGTTTCTGATTCACTTTTATCTTCCTTCTTTGAATTTTTTTTAACCAAATTATAATTCTTAATATTTTTAAATCCAGTACAAAAAAAGTGCATTGGAGTATAACAACAGTCACAAAATATTATAGGATTTTCTTCCCAATCTTCTCCAAGACTACAAATGTTACATAAAGCTTTTTCTGTCCAACTATTTGGTAATTGAAAGCTATTATTAACTATAATTCTTAACTTCAATAAATCTACAATTTGCTTCGATAATGTATATGTATGTTTTGTGTTTAATTTATTTTTTAGATATTCATTAATATAAAAATTAATCATTTTATCCTCTATAGAATACCAATATTTATATGGTTTTTTTTTTTCGTTTTTTATATTATCTAATAATTTTTTTATAATTTTTTTTTGCTCCTTTATATTATATACATAACGGGAAAATAAAACGCATATTTCTTTATTAATGCTTTTTATATTTCTTAAATTTTTTATATTTGTTTTATATATGTTTTCTGTATTATTTAAACATAGCACATCCTTTAAAATATCATTATTTACTTTATTTTTATTCTCCTTATTTTTATTTTCATCGTCTGAAATCATGTTTTCTTCATATACATTAATATTTCTATTAGTATTCTTTATACTATCTTCATTTAATCCTTCTAGTATATTGTTTCCCAAAATATTTTTTTCCATTTCATTATTACAACTATTAATATCTTTATTATTACTCAAATTCATTTGATTATTTAATGAGAGTGATTTCATTAGTTTGGATATTTTTGTATTTCTTTTTATAATTTTCCTTTTGCAGTTTTTATTTTTATTAAAATTTATACAATATAAATGATTCTTTCTTGTAATAGAATTGCTATTATTATAATTTACATTCAAAATATCTCTTCTATATTTGTCTAAATTTATATTAGTCAGCACGTATTCAAAATAAACATTAGACTTATATTGATTTTTTTGCAAAGAAAAAATAGAACTATTAAAAGGAACAATTGCATTGCTAGGAACTGTAAATTTAAAATGTTTTAAATAATGAAATTTATAAAATGTACTTTTTTTTTTTAAAATCGATTTTTTGTTGTTTAATGATTCTTTTTTATTTTCCGTAGTAATATTTTGTTCTCTTTTCATATCATTATTCTTATATTCATTAATTAAAATAATTTTATTATTATTTGTAACTTCTTCTTCTTTTATATCATCTTCTTTATTACTATAAAAATCTTTTGTATCATTTTTTATATGAGGTTCCACATTTGTTATGGACTTATGGTTACTTTCACATTTATTAATATCATAACTTTTTTTTTCTTCATTAATATATTTTTCATTCGATGTATTATCACAAAAACTTTCCTTTGTTAATTCTTTTTTTGAATTTTCCTCTGTTATATCGTTTATCATAATATTATTGAATATTTTTGTTGGTTTTTCTTCATATTCATTTATATTCTCTACATTAGTATAATCAATTTTTTCACTTTCTTTTTTTAATTCTTTTGTTTCCACTTTACTTGCAACTATATCCTCTTTATCTTCATTTACTTCTTCTGATTTCTTGTTGTATAGTTCTAAATTATCACTGTTATTATTAATGTTATGTTTTTCCAAATTTAATTTATCGAGACATCGGTTTAAGTGAGTATTATCTTTTTTATTCTTTATAGTTTCTTCACTTTCAATTATTTCTCTTTTCTTTTTTTTTAATTTCCCATTATCTATTTTATCGTTCATTAAATGCTTTTTACCCTCTTTTGAATTTTTGCATGCCAATTTCTTATTTAAATTTTTTATATGAATATATTTTGACTTTTCATTATTTTTATTTAGATTTTTTATTTTATATAAATGACTTTTGTTTTTTTGTTTATCCCAATAAGGCAAAATATTTCCTAGTATTATTGGTAATGAATTGTAATTCTTCAGTTCATCCAAAATAGAATTATAGCATTTTTCCTTTTCTTCTATGGACATTTTAGAATTTAAAATATTTTTTTTATCACCAAAAGTTATCTCCGTTAATAATCTGGCTAATTTTTCTTTTTCATATATATCTTCTGAATTGCATGATTTTTTTTTTTTTTCTTCATTTTTTTTTTTAAAATTATAAGTTTTGGGAATATATATTGAAATATGTAAACCATTAGGTATTGGTTTATTTTGTATATAGGGAAGTTTACCAACACCATCGTATTTTTTATTCAAAAATGGATTAAAAAAGTTATTATCTTGCTTAGAATTTTTATTTAACTTTTTGTATTTATCTATATGGTATTTTATATTTTCATCATTTGTATTATTTTTTTTAATTTTTATGTCATTATTTCTTTTCATATTAATCTTGTCATTTTTTAATATACAATCATTATCATCTAATATATTTTCATAACTATGTACTTCATTGAAATTTGGATAACTTTTTCTATTATATATATAATTGTGTGTTGTTAGCTGCTTATCAAATAAACCATTTTTATAATCATTACATGCACTATTCAGACTTATTGGATTATGCATGAAATATTTTTGGGAATATTTATCACATGCATTTTTATCTAAGAAAACGTTATTATTATAACTGAAGTCATTAGTATAATAATTTTCCATATTAATCATATTCTTATCACATAAATTAGAACTTTTATAAATATTATTAATTTTATTTGTACTATTATACTGATCAAGATTAACCATTTTATTAGAATACAAATTATTTAAATCATTCATTGAATTTACATTTACATTTATATCATCATTCAACTTATTATCAAGGTCATTTTTCACAGTTATATAATTATTGCTTATATGAACTTTGTTGAAAGAATTATTATAGCAATTATTAAAAAGGTTGTAAGTACTATTAAAACTATTAACATCATTATTCATACCTTCATAATTATTATTTGCACCATACAGGTTATTTAAATTACAGCTAAATTGATTTTTAATATTCTCTTCTATTTCACTATTCATAATATTTGCATTATCAACGTTTATTGAATTTACTTCTTTATTTGGTTTACTTATAATATTTGATTCATTATTAAAAATATTTGAATCATTCTTTAAATTGCTCACATTATAACTAAACAAATTTGGATTATCATTAAAAATATTTATATCATTATTTACATCAGTGATATTACTGCTTATTTTATTTTTATTACTGTTTAATTCATTTGCATTATTATTTGAATCACCTCCAAGTTTATTTTCAGTATTATTTGATTCATTAAATTCACTGCTACATATTTTGTTATTTTTTTGTTCTTTATTAGTATCTACATTATTTGTAGTGTCAATGTTTGAATGAGCATTATCTATACTTTTAAGTTTAGGTGAATTATTATCGAAATTTTTATAACTATCATTTAATACATTGTAACTCATAAATGTGTTATCATTTAAATTATCATTGAAAAAATTATAATACTTTATATTATTAATATTATCTGAATTATTAATGTCACATATATTCATAAAATTATTTTTAAAATTGTTGGTGTTATTTAAATAATCAAAATATTCCATGTTATTAAAGTTACTATCTTTAAAATTTTCAGAATTTTCAAATATATTACTATTGACATATCTGTTTTTTAATAAAAAATTTTCATTATTATTAATACCAAAAAAATTAGAATCCTTGTTCATGCTAAATTTATAATTTTTTTGTTGATTTCTTAAGTTTATGTGATGTAAGGTATTCAATAATAATTCGTTTTTTGCCATAGGCATAAATTCAATTATACTTTTTTTTTCATCAAATATTATTGGTTTATCATTTTTTATGTTTTTTTGTAATTCATTTGTATTATAACTATTAATATCATCTATTATTTGTTCTTTTTTTATTCTTTCGTTTTTTATATCTCGTTGAAAAAATTTACTAATTTCATTTTTACTATCTTCTATATTTCTAAAAATTAAATTTTTATTTTGAGAAAAATAATCAGAAATATTTGAAATATTTTTCTCATTTTGATTTAATTTTATTTTCACTGAACTTTTGTAACAATTTATGTTCTGAAATAATTTCTTATTTATTTTCTTCTTCTTTATTTTATTGCATATGTAATCTGTGCATCTTATATGATCTTCAAAAGCAGAAATTAATCTTTTATCAAAATTTGAAAAATATTGACTTTCAATATTAGCCCAAAATTGATGATCATCTGGACTTTCATTTTTTATATTTCCATCTCTGTATATATTAACGTCATTATTTCTTCTATAATTTGTTCTTCCTCTATCCATCATAAAAATACATATTCATACATATACATATACATATAAATGTAAATATATATATACATATATATATATATATATAAATATATATATATATATATATATATATATTTAAAAAAAAAAAAAAAAAAAAAAAAGAATCAAAGTGTCAATGCATTAAAAATATTTAAATATATTTATAAATTATTTTTTTTTTTGATTTTTTAAATTAAAAAAAAAAAAAAAAGTCTTGTTTATTTTAAATGCTTACATTTTTATTATACAAAGTAAAGAACTAAAATATATATTATAATTTCAAAATATTTCAAATAAAAATAATTAAAACTAATGATGTATTTATAAAAAAAAAATAAAATTCTAAAATTTAAAAATCTCTATACACACAAATGATAAATAAATTTTAAAATTTTTGAAGTTATCTTTTGTTATATTTAAAAATAAAAATATTAAAATATTAAATTTTTCATTTCATGCACAATATTTTTTTTTTTTTATTACATATGCAATACTAGTACATAAAAATATAAATTTTAAAACAAAAAAAAAAAAAAAAGAAAAAAATTTATGTACATGCATAAAAAAACGAGGATTAAAATATTAGCTACTCTCTCCTTACAGTTTTATTTCCTGTATAAATCAAAAAGTTAAATATATATTATATGAATTATAAATTTTTAATAAATATAATTTTACTTATAATATCTTTAATAGAACAATATATATAAAAAAAAAAAAAAATAAAATAAAAAAAAATAAAATTTAATAATTCAAATAATATTTTTATTTTTTGTATTTTTTTTTTTTGAAGCTTAAAGTTTTAATTAAAAAAAAAAAATATATATAATAGATTCAATAAATTTTTGAATTTTTTTTTTTAATATAAAATTATGTTAAAAAAAAATAAAAATAAAAATAATAATACACTAGTTGTTTTTGTGAAATATTCGTTGTAACAAAAAATTATAAACTTTTAATGAAGAATTTTAAAAAAATAAGAAATTAGGTATTATAATTTATAATTACCGTTTATTACATGTTTCCTTTTTTAGTTTTGACTTCAATAAAAAAAAAAAAAAATATGAATTTTAAGAAAAAAAAAAATCAATTTAAAATAAAATTAATAGGGAATAAAAAATAGATATTAGAAAATTTTTATTCCTTTTGTATTTTTTAATTTAAAGTTATGTAAGCATTTGAATAGTTTTTCTTTTAGTTAAAAGAACAAAAATATTTATATATGCAAGAATATTTATTAAAAAGAGAGGATTATAAATAATATATATACAAAAAACAAATTTGCGCAAAAAAGATAAAAAAAAATAGAACAATCCTTTAATTTTTTTTTGTTAGATGCACAATTTAAAAGTTAGCATTACACTAATTTTTATCTTTAATTATTTTATTTTTTATGCATAATTTTCAATATAGTTTTCATATATCAAATATTAGAAAACTTTATTTTTAAAAAATTATTAGAACTATAAAGGAGGCCAATTAAAATTTTTATAATTAAATATAAAGAATATTAAAGGTCAATTTTTAATTTTCCTTATCTAAATAGAAAAAAAAAAAAAAATAAATAAATAAAATAAATATAAAATAATATATAATTTAACAAAAAATTATATACAAAAATAATTATGAGTTGCAATTATGTCCGCTAGAATAATAATTTACGAAGAATAAAATAAAAAATAGAATTAGGTTAAAAAACTAAAATTAAATATATATACATATAAAAAAAAATAATTCTTTGTTATTAATGGAAAATAAAGACATTGATTTAAAAAAATGAAAAATAAAAATATATATATAACCACAACTCTAATAATAAAAATATATAAAAAGTTCTAAGTATAAGTATTATATAAAGAATTATATCATATTTAAAATTTAACATATATATATATATATATATGTTAAGCCATACGGATATGTACTATTTTAAAAATAAGTTTTATAAGGTAATTTTGTTTTAAAAATTCTGATACACTAATGGTTTTGCATTAATATATTAATCAACAAATATAATTTAATGAGAATTATACATATGAATACATATATGCACCTCTTTTAAATAACTAATATTTATAATATTACGAAACATTATTTTACAAAATTAAAACTTTTATTTAAATGAAAATTTTTGATTTTTTCTATTGTTTTTTTTAAAATACGATGAAGAGATATTATTCCTAATAAGAATCCTTCATCCTTTTCATTTTTATTTAAACTTGCGTGAGCAAAATCAATTATGTATACATCAGCACTTTTTAAAATTTTCGCATTTAATTTGTTATCCATATATATATTTTTTTCTTCATTAGTTAATGATTCTTCAAAAAGCTTTTCAATTTCTCCTTTAAAGTTATATATTTCTTCATAATTTTTTCTTTCATTATTACAGTTTTTTTCTTGTTTTATTTTTTTATTTTTGTTTAATTCATTGTTACGAGTTTCTTTTTTGTTTACTTTATCTTGTATTGGCAATAAATTTAATTGATTAAAATTTTTCTGATAAATATATTCACATTTATTTTTCGATGGATCTGAGTCAAAAACAAATAATAAACTTGATCCATAAAAAGCAAAATAATTTTGATTTTCAAAAAAAATCTTCATTTTTTCTAGTATTAAAAGTATTTTTTTTATTAAGAGAATGGAAAGACAAATATCATCACATGCCATGAAGTAGGAGGTAAAAGCACTGACAAAGTCATCATCATTTTTAATAGAATGAGCATCTTCTTTTGATATAAAAAAAGGTCCTTTTTTTTTTTTACACCAACCTATCAAACTCGTTAAATGAAATCCATGTGATAAACAAGATCTATTTTTAGCTTTTTCTATTTTCTTTTGTATTGATTCCTTATTGCAGTTATCTCCATATAAGCGGATACCCATTTTTACATCTATAACACATGGATGTTGCATAGTACTTAATACATTACTTAGACAAATAGCAGTTTTTTTTTCTTTTAAAAAATTTTTAGGGTTATTCATTGAATTACTTTCTACTTTTTCCTTTTTTTGACTTTTTCTTTTTTGGTACACATTTTTACTTTCATTATCAGTAATACAAGTATTTTTTTCTAAGTTACGTTTTGAGTTACAATTTGATTTCAAAAATTCACAGCTTATATTATGAAAATTCATAATATCTTCATCTAAAGTTGACGTCATATTTTGTTTAAAATTTTTTTTTGTCTTAATTTCATATTGCTTACTCATATATTTTTTGTTCATGTCTTCTTCTATACAATTTTTATTTAAATTATTAATATTTATTAATTCAGCATGATTAATATCGCAATTTTTTTTATAACTACTAAAACTTTTTTTAATAGGATGAATACTTTTTAATATTTCTTCTATACATTTATCTATATGTACATCTATTGAATCATATAAATTTTCATCAGCAGCCGAGTAAGTTTCGGTATTTTTCTTATTATTTAATTCATTTATCTGATTTTCCTTAAGAAAAACATTATAGCAAGGAACAGTAAATTTTAAAAATTCTTTTGCTAATTTTCTTTCATCATCACAAAATTCTCTACTTATAGAAATATTATCAATTTTTTCTTTACCTTCTAATATTGAAGAATAATTTTCTTTTGTTTTTCCTATACATATTTCTTTTTTGCAACATAAATATAACCATGCATAAAAATAAGCTTCTGAATTGGAACATAATTTTATTATTTTTGTTATTTTTTTATGAATTGGTAAAACCCACTGATTCCTATGTCCACTTCCGTAGAAAAAGATAAAACCTTTTTTTCTTTTTGTATACATCTTAAAAGAATTCATAACTTGGTTTTCATTATATTTTAGATTAGTTAAATCGCAATTAATAGAACTATTATTTAAATCATTAATTTCTGATGAATTTCCATGATCATCATTTTCTAAATTTGTTAAATCCCACAATTCCACATTTTTATTTAATTTTTCAATCTTATTATAATTTGATAATTTTTTATTTTCTTTAGTTTTTTTTTTTATATTTATAGTTGGAAAAGATGACGAAGTATTAATTTCTTTATCTATCTCTAATTTTAATCTGTTTAATATTATAACTTTTTTCCTACTATTTTTAGAACTAAAAGAGCTATTATAATCTGTTTCATCATCAGATATATATATATCTCCATCATATATGTCTGATGTTGTTGTTGATGATTCTGAATAGTATGTTATGCATCTCTGACTAATATTATTTAATTCAATTGTTTCATCTTTAAGATTTGTTAGATCAATATATTCCTTAATGTTATTACTGTCAAATATTTTATTCTGCATTTTGACATTGTCTTCAATAATTATTTCTCTATTGTTTAATTTTTCTTTATATAATGCATCTTTTTTTTTTATAAAATAATTATATGGTGGTAATTTGATATTCAAACGAAAAGGATCTCCTTTTAATATACATGAAAAATATTTTATAACTTTATAGGTAGAATAATGCAATTTACCTGCTGTTATTAGTTTTTTCATTTTAGACTCTCTTTTTACATGAATATCTTTATTACGCAATTCTTTGGATTTTTTGCAAAAATCTGTATAATTTTTTAATTTATAAATATTATTTTGTATATTGCTATTTGAGTTATAATTAAAATCAATGCAATTAAAAATATTATCTAAATTAATTACATTCGTATTTTCAACGTTTTTTTTTGTTTTTTTATCTAAAAATAGTTCAGTATTATATTTGTAATTTTTTGTAGAAAAGTTAGAATGTAATTTACTACTAATATCAGTTTTAAGTGAAGTATTATTTTGACTATCCATAATTATTTCTTTTGAATTTATACTTATTAATTTATTATCATTGGTCTTTTTAACTGAATATTCCTGCTTGGAATTTGTATTTTTTTTAATTAATGCTTTTATACATGCCAAAGCACATTTAGGCAAGTATTTAAGATTATATCCTCCTTCTAAAACTAAAATAATTCTACCATTACAAAAAATATTTGCAAAATTTTTTAATTGTAAAGTCATCCAATGATATAAATTATGTGTGAGATTGCATTCCCCCAATGGATCATTAATAGATGCATCAAAACCGCATGATATAAATATAAATTCAGGTTGAAATTTTTTTAACACTGGTAATAATAAATATTTAAATACATAATAAACATCACAATTATTATACCCTTTTTCTAATGGTACATTGATATTAAACATATAACCATTTTTATCTCCTAATTCATTTTTTGCTCCACTACATGGAAAAAACAAATTTTCTTCATTTAATTTACTTGATTTTTTTCTCTTTTTATTACTACTTTTCATATTTTTACCGCTTGAATTTCCACTAGTATTTTTTGTGATATTTGTTTTTTTCTTAATTTTCTCTTTTTTTTTATCAAATCTATGTATAGAAAAACATAAGACATCTTTGTCACTATAAAATATTTCTTGAGTTCCATTATTATGATGCACATCCCAATCGAATATAAAAATTTTTTTAATTCCGTACTTTTTAGATATATATTTACATGCAACACTTATATTATTAAAAATACAAAACCCCGATGAATTATTTTTGCTACAATGATGTCCTGGCGGTCTAATAGCTGCAAACCCACAATTTATATTTGTAAAAAAATTATTATTATTACAATCATTCATGTTAAATACACTAGTAGAATAACTACGATACTTTTTTTTATAAATTTTATAGTTTGACATATTATATATATTATTTAAAATATGACTTATTAATTTATCTTCTGATTTCTCATTAATATAATCTTCTTTATGACAATTATTATTGTCATTATTAATAACTTCATTATTATAACAATTATCACTAATGTTATAACTTTCTATAAATAAATCTTGGTTTTTATATATGTTATATTTATAACGCTCATCAAATATATTATTTTTTGATTTTTCTTTTATGTATATGTTACTATCTGATTCAGAACGCTTTAATTTCATAAGATAATTTATTTTATTTTTCTCATATTTATTTATATTATTTTCGGAAGTAATATTAAAGAAATTGTAATTATAAAGAATTGACTTTTTAAAGTCTATATATTTAAATTTTTCATTTTTATCAGATAAAATTGCGTCACATAAGTTTAGTAACCCACCAACAGCTCTTTTAGATACAATTCCTGTATGTGAAGTATAATAAGTATCATGTTTATCAAAAGGATATATAACTTTTTTCTTTTTATATTTTAATTTTTTTTTCAATGAATAAAATATATTATTAATGTGCCTACTTGAATGGCACTGTTTTATTTCATCAAATAGAGCTTCTCTGCATTTTATTTGAATCATTTTATTTATAACATTTTTTTCTTTTAATTTTTTTATAATGCATTTTATTCTGTCTGGGCTTTCTACATGATCTTCATCAAAATGAAAATTTTCACACATGTATTCTTCGTCACATACAAAACCTACACAATCATAATTTATATTATTATTCATTATATTTAAAAAATTATTTTTGTTATTATTTTCCAATTTAAAATAGTTATTTCTATCATTGATTAATGATTTAGAAAAATTAATTTCATTATCATTTTTATATTTTTTATATTTAGTATTATTATTACGAGATTCATTATTACAATTACTTTTTTTTTCATATATTTTATAATTATGTTCATTTTGACATTCTTCATATCTAATGTCATTATTTTCAAGGTAATTTTTACATAAATTATTATTATTTTTAGTTTCTATTTGTGTATATTTATTTATAGAAATGATTAATTTTTCTATATCATCTTTGTTATAATTACATTCATCATCATTCCAGATTTTCGAACAATGTTTTTTTGTACTGTTAAGATATTCTTTCATATTATTATTTTTACATCTGTGTTTCAATCTTTTATTGTATTCTTTATTAATTTTTTCATGTATATATAAATTATCACTGTTGGTGTTATTAATATCTATATAATTTATTTCATCTTCATTTATGTAATCAAAAATTTTTTTTTTTTTTTTCTTATAATTTTTGTTACTTGATATATTTTCAGACTTAATATTTTCTATTTTTAAACTATCTAAATAATTTATAAATCTTTCCTGATCATCCAAATTCTTTAAATCAAAAGTAGTATTTTTACTATCATTTTCCTTATTTTTTTTTTTTGTTATATAATACTCCTTGATATTTTCATTAATGTCTTTTATATCATTAAATTTTTCATATATTAAATTATTATATATCAAATTTTTTTTGTGACTTTTTATATTAAAAAAATTACCTTGTTTAATTAAAATCTTTTTATTTTCATTTGTACTTTTCTCATTTAAAATTTTGTTTTTCATATTTGATTTTATAATTTATATTCTATATTTAAATAAATATACTAAATGATATTTTAATTGCATTATATTTTTCTTATATCATATGGACAGCGTCTCAATTTATTTCTTTTTATTTTATAATGTTGTTTTTCTATAATATATATATATATATATTTTTAACATTTAATAAGTACTATTTATATTAATAAAATTCATAGAATACAATATATTTTAGACAAAATTATAAAGATTTTTTAAGTAATTATAATATTTAAAATAAAAAACTATCTTAATTTTTCCATATTAATATATATATATATATATTTAAATTTAGATAATGATATATATAAATAATAAAGATAAAAAAAAAATTAGTATTAATTAAATACGGAAAAAAAAAAAGCACCTAGTTCTTTTATGAATGATTAAAATAGTTATAATAATTATGTAAAATAAAAGAAAATAATTAAGTAATCCTCAACATTTTGTAGGTTTTGTAAATTTACAAAATAAATTGAACATTTTAAAAAAATTTAAAATTCATTACTAAAATGAAAAAAAAAAAAAAATGAGTTTATATGCAATATTACAAATAAAATTTACTTAAATAAAAAAAAAAATAAAATAAAAATTTATATGAGTTCTTTTTAAACCTAAAAAATAAATTTTATAAAAGTATTTAAGAACTTAATAAAAAAAGAATTTGTACTAATTTATATATTTTAAAAACTTTAAAAATAAAAACGAGATAAATTAAGACTTCACAACTATTATGGATTGTATTTTTTTTCCTCTTAGAAATAAAAATTTATAAAAAATATTCGTATTTTTCAATTATTTTTTTTAAAAATTTTTGATGATTCTCATACTGTTCAGTAATTCTTAGTTTGATGCAAAAAATAAAAAAAAAAAAAAATTAAATAAATATAAAAATATATTAAACTTAATAATATGATAAATTAACAAGGGATAAAAACAAAATGAATATATAAAAATAAAATTAAAATAATAATTATAATAAAAATAAAACAAAAAAATTGATTTACTAACTTATAAAAATGAAAAAAAAAAAAAAAAAAAAAATTTAGTAAAGATATAAAATAATTTAATGAAATGAAATA